ACACACACACACACACACACACAATCAGTTTTATGTATGTCAGTCTTTTTTCTGTTGTCTGTCTTCTTTCTGATTTTGTCTAACTCCTTTCGTGTATGCCCAATTGAGCGCCCTCTGGTAGTGCCAAACAGTCGGTGGTTCCTTGTTCAGAGTTCCAACTACACTCTTAGGGGGGCCGCTCGGTTCGGGATGTCTGTGTTGCCTGTCGGTGATGACGGATGCTCGTCGGGTTGACTCCCTGGCTCAGTGGGTAGTGGGAACCAATAGTCTGAGGGGTTCAATCTTGATGTGAGTAGGTCATGTGCTGCTTTGCTCTGTGTTGGATGTGTGGACGTCCTCGTCTACGCTCTGCCGCTGCCCTGCTGCATGTGTCCCGCTTGCTTCGCATGTGGTTCTTTGCAGGCTGATGTGTTCGCTGTGCAGTGTGGCTGTGTTGTTGGTGGTGCCTTGCGCTTCGATGCTTCCCTGCTATGCTGCTCATTCACTGGCCGTGCCTTCCGTCTTTGCCTCTTGTGTGCCCTGTTGGTTGGTTGCCTTGTTGCCAGTGCCTTGTGCTCCGCTCCAGGGTTGCCGACCTGCTGGACCACTCGCCCTGTCGTCCCCTGCAGTGCAGGTGCCGTGTTTGTGTTGTCTTGTACTTCACTTCACGTTTTCCGTGCTGCATCCTGCGTGCCATGTCACTCCTTGCAGTCGTTTTTTTGGCGTTGAGCAGCCGTGATGCCTCTTCTATGTTGCCTGGTGCTTCACAGGGTTGCCGGACGCTGCTAAGTTCCGCTTGGGACAGTCTGCCTTCAGCAAGGGTCAAAGGGTTCATGACCCAAACCATCAAATATGGGGATTCCGCAGATTGTGGAAGGGTTCAGCCTCCTGATGAGTCGGTGCAATTCCGACGAAACAATCTTGTAATCATAAACTTCTATCTTTTTTCAGTCTTTGCCTTGTTTATACTTGTCTTTTTTTCGAATGTTGTTTTTGCCTTGTCGTCGTGTGTCTTGCTGTTTGCTTTCCCATTCGCCTACCCCATGCCTCCCGCCGAGTGTGTTGTGTTGCTTTGTGCTGTTTGCCTGCCCACCTGCATCCCCCATGCCCTCCAACCTATTTGCTTTGTTGCCTTGTGTTGTTTGTTTTGTGGCATGCTGTCGGTCTGCCCACCCGCCTCCCCCGCCGTTTGTTGATTCCGCATGCTGTTTTCCCTTGTTGTGTTGCTTTGTGTTGTTTGCTTGCCCACCCTTCTCCTTCATGCCCTCCAGCCTATTTGGTTTGCTGCCTTGTGCTGTTTGCTTTGTGGCATGCTGTCGATCTGCCCACCC